TAGGCATCTGCTGTCAGACGAGTGGGGGCGTGGAAATGTATACGCAAGTGGGCGTGGAAATGTATACGCAAGTGGGCGTGGAAATGTATACGCAAGTGGGCGTGGAAATGTATACGCAAGCTGAGAGACAGGAAAACAAAACTAATCTGCAAGCTGGTGATCCGGCCGTTTGTCTTCTGTGACGTTTAGCGTAAGTCTACGTTAATACTTTCGTCTTCCAGACCCAAAACGTACACATACCCAGGAGCTCGAGTCTGGCCTCCTGCTTCAGTTGCCGCACCACGGCAAGGCGGGCCTTGTGCCTCAGGAACGTGGACTTCTGGGCCTCCAGGAAGGCCATGTGATGGCCATGCGCTGGGTGATACCAAAGAGAAGCTCTACTGATGCCCCTAGAACTCCATGTCTTTTTAAAGTCTCTCAATTAGCAAACGATTTGACCCTTTGTAACCATTTGTGGATTAACTTACCATTAGCAAATTTAACTTGTAAGTAGAGTCTCTCTTAACCCACAAAAACAAAATTATGTAAGATGATGTACCTTCCAGGATGGCTGGTTTCAGATCTGTTTCAATGATGTCCAGTCTGTTGTACATGTAAACCTATGAGAGAGGGGGAAAAAAAACCTTCAAAAGGGCCTTTTGCAACAGAAAAAGCATATTTTTAGTTGTGTGGACAGGCAGAAAACAGTGCTCGCAAGCACCACCCCCTGGCCAACGAAGGAATAAGCAGGCGAACCCACCAGCCTGAGCGCCTCCTCCCACGCCGACCCGGCAATCAGAGCAGAGATGGCCTCCTCACAGTCCTGGAAAAGCCGTACTGTATCAACGCCGACGCAGGGAAGGTGCGCCACACACACGAACGCACACACACACGCACACACATCCCCCCACGCTCCGCTGGATGCCGTGATCTACCTTAGCGTACTGCTCCAGCAGCAGGGAGGCCTCTGTGTGCCGTCTAAGCTCCATCAGCCTGCCTGGTGTGGGAGGGGAATATCAGAGATTAGCTTAAAGAGACTTAAACAGGCCAACAGAAAAGTTAAGCCTGATAACAGGATTTCTAATACTGGACAGCAGAAATAGCAAATATAAACACAGATAAAACCATATGCTCTCAGACAGGGGAATGAAAATTTTAACACTTAATGTAAGCACTATAATAATGATTATAAAAATAACAACATCCTAGTGTTTTCTGAACATAACAGGCATGAAGCACCATCACCATCCTGCCACTAGGTGGTGCCATACCTGCAAGGTCACGAGCTAGCAGGGCCAGCTGGTCAGAGGGCAGGGGGATCTGGGCCGCCACGCAGAGGGCGTGCCGCCAGCTGCAGCTGCTCACGAAGGCCTGCAGGGCGCGGTGTGTCTCTCCACACCGCCACAGCAACAGCCCCGCCTGCTCCGCCTGCTGCTGTTCCACCAGGTGCTCCGCATAGGCGCAGCTCACGGCCTGGTGACAGGAGGGGGGTCAAAGGTCAAAAGAGTCACATGTCAAAGAAAGATGGTTTGATATGTAGAACTAAGTTAATCATGCGTGGCATGACAGCAGAGTGATCTATGCCCCGGGGACGGCGTCCTTAGGCTGGTGGGCTTCTGACACTCAGGCCTCCTACTTTGTACTGGGGGCTGTCCAGTGGGTAGAGTTGCATGGCTTCTCTGTACAGCCTCTGGTCCTTCACCAGGTTCAGACACTCTGGGAAGTTCTCCTCACCTGGCACAGTCATGGAGCACAGGACACGTGGAGGTGAGCGAGAGACAAGGGTGTGAAACAGCATGTACACTTTACGCATTTCCCTTAGGATTGATGTTTCCCAACCCAGTCCTTGGGGACCCTGAGCCGGTCCACATTTATGCTCCCTCCCAGCTCCCCAAGCAGATATTCGTCAATGAATGATTGGTTGTTTCAGGTGTGCTGGGAGGGATCAAAAATGTGGCCTGTCTGGTGGGTCCGTGAAGAGTGGATTGAGAAACACTTGGGACGAAACCAGCAGGAAGTAATGGACATGTTCTCCTTACAATGAGGGTAATGTTGCATGATACATACATTACTGGACATTCCATAAGGTCCAAACTGCACTGAAAGCCAAATGTCACTCTCACCGCACTTGCTGATATGCTGCAGGGCCTTGCTGTATCTTTTCAGGTGCATGTCGATGGAGTAGCGCTGATAATTGGGTTCCATCTTCTTCAAGGCATTAAGAAATGGAAGGTACTCCTTCGGGTCCTTGAGGAAGAGGAGAATGGCAGCCATCGGTTGTGAAAGCGAAATTGGGGGGGGGGGGGGGGATGACACTACATTTCCCAGGGATCCTCACTGACCTTCTGTGACCTCTCCGCCACCATGAGCACAAGGTCGAAGTCGTAGG